TTGACTTCTGCCAGTCGAGGTACTGCGGGGACCATGGTAAGTGAGCTTCACCCCATGTAAGGAAATCCAAGACAGTCTTGGATTCTGGATTCCACGGCATGGATTCCGGATTGTTTGTCAGTGGAACTTGGATTCCGGATTCCAACTTTTAGGGGGACTGGACTCCTTAAACTGTATTCCGGTTTCCAAAGCCCAGGATTCCGGATTCCACAAGCAAAAATTTCATAAAGAAGAAGCGGACCAAAAACCTAGATTTTGATTCAATTAAATTAGTGTAAGCTTATTAAATTTTAATCAATGTTTCTTAGACACGTTTATGTTAACAGTTCATGTTAAGTTTCTACTTTGTCTCAGAAAAGGTAAACAGTTATTACGGTTATTCTAGAAAATAAATTTCCGAGGTATTTATAGTTGGAAGCTGCTCACTGACCTCGTAAATTCCATACTGTGAAAGAGCATAACAATAGTCCTAACATTGTTAATGTGTTCTGCTAGATTTGTTTTGGCGCAGGGATTGCCGCTTGGAGGAATCTAAAGAAAAGGTAAGAAGAGTTAAGAAAAAATGCATTGATGAAAAATATCCATTTAAAGTTAACGAGGTTTTTTTATTCTGCTTTTAATAAATCCGCCCTCAAACTGCACAAAACACACACTAACCGCTCACAGGAATGTCGAAAGACAAGGGCTTTGAACTGAATATGCTAAGGAAAACGCAGTTGATGCTAATAGTGAGTTTACGCAACCGGACGGCAGGAAGAAGAGGACAGCAAAACGTTTGCATGTGACAAACCTGACAGGGCTATTACTTGCATGTTTTGTCGTGATCTTCACTTAACCTTAAGGGTTTCTGGTCTTTTGCAAAAAGATCTGTTTAAAGGAAAGTGAAGTTTGGGGAAATTTTGTTTCAAACAAAATTATTGTCACGCTTGTCACACAAGGTTGCCGTCTTCTTTCCTCTCCCGTCCTGTGGCGTAACGAGAAGGTCGAGGACGGTGCAATGATAAAATACATAAATCCTGTTTCATTAATTAGGAGATAAAATAAATTGGGGGCAATGTAGCGCCTCGTCATTCGCTTCGAGGAAGGCCTAGTGCTTGACCATAAACGTTTTTTTTAATTTTTCACCACTACCCCAGCGACGTAGTTTCAAGACTTTTACAGTGAGTGGTTAAACAAGCAAGCTATCCAGATTAATCAACCAGACCCTTTCAAGGCATTACCAGTCCATCCTAAGTAACTGGAACAAAACTCAACTTCAGTCAGACTCATTATCTTTGCTATAGAGATCTTAAAAAAGCGGTGATCACTTGAACTGGTTACGTAATCCACTGTAAGAATGAACTTGTATGTTTTTGAGGGACCCTTAAAGATTCCCTCTCAAGTACTATTACTTTGGAAGCTGTTAAATGATTCTTGCTTTTGCTAAATGCTTTCTTTTTGTGAAGCGATTCTTTCCCTAGCATTCCCATGAATGATTTCATCTTGTTACGTAACCAATGCTATTTTATTGATTCCCTGAAGGCTAAGATTTTTTTTTGTCTATTACTTTGGTCGTTTTTCTGGTTCGATTTGATTTTGTCAGGTTTATTTTGGATTACAATTTTCGCAGGGCCTCTGAAAAAATTGCATGCAAAGGGATGGTAATTTATATCCTGTCATTAAATTTACTTTTAAAGCTAACTCCTCGAACAAGTTGTTAGCGTTACATGAATGACAGCTACGTAGCTGATTAGCTTCTCCAAAAAGTATGACAATCCTGAATGGGTATAATAATGACTGCTTAGTCTCCGTTTTTTCTCTGGAAAACGTTTAGAGGAGCTTGCACGTTTAGAGGAGCTTGAATGTGTCTTACAGGGTAAGGGGGTCATGAAAAACCAAACATGGTATACTCACTGATGCACCAGCTCCTCCCCCTCCCTAGCCAATTATTTACCGGTCCCTAAAAGCGTCTCTTGTATTGATTTTTCCTAACCTTAACATATCCAGGGACATGAGATTTTGGAGGTGTACAAACGGGGAAAAAGGTTAGACCGCCGAAAGCACTCCAAACTATGGGGTTCTTATAGAGGTATGCTCCACCGGAACAATTTTTAATTTTAGAGGCTCAGAAATGCCATTTCCTGCTTTTTTCCGCATGATATTTTCAGTAAATAAATAAGAAGGAAAATGCAATAATACACATCCCTAGTGTTAGCAGTAGAGTACAGTGTTTACGGGAAAAAGAAAAAAAAAAAGTTAAAACAGAGATTCAAAAAAAGGGCGAAATGTCTACCCAGACGGGCAAAGACACCAATATAATATAATGGGAAAGATTTGTCAATCATCCCGATTCAATGATGAAATATGCTTTCAGGACACAATTTTTTTTGCTGATTTCAGTTGTATGCTAAAGCGGATGGTCGTAAATGGACGCTACGCTCAAATCTGCACTATCAGACTGGTAGTGCAGATTTGACTGATTCTGAATTTCAGAAAAATAAGATTAAGTGTTAGTCGCATTTGGATCCAAGGCACTGCATTTAGAGTGGATCTATTTTACTGGTGTTAAAATACCCTACAGGAGAAAGCTCTAAAATTTTAATGAGCGGAATGGGAACATGAATCTCGTTTCTCCCACTCTCCCCTATGAGCGTATTGAAATTTCGAGTAATAACCTCCGTATAAATACTAAATTTGCACACCAAGGGTATGTAATCAATCCATGGAGAAACTATTGTTTACTAAGCGTCGTTTTCCCTTTGTTTATGTTCTCGAAAAAGTGTGATTAACATCATACATCAAAAATCAAACATCGGCCATTTAAAAGTGTAGCTTCAACATGGCTTTGTCACATTGTTAAAGTAGGGTTGTTCTTTGATTTCATTTAAGTTATAAGTTGTCTTCGAATATATGACTTAGGACGAAAGTTGTCGGTGTACTCTCAGTAGTTCATCCAAAACAACTTCACTCACTGAAATTAAGTTCTGTTGATAAATTATACGAACACTAATAATCACACCACAGGTGACTTCAATAATGCACCATAAAGGTCTCTAAAGCAAAGAGTGGATATAGTTAATAATTCAGTGAACCGAAGTTTATTGCTTGATTTCAATATTTGCGCGTAAAACCCCCAAAAGGCAGAAAATAATGAGACTTATGCAAAGAATTGTGCTATTGACCCCGTAGGTGTGATTAAGGACAGTGTGTGACAGTACTCCAACCTTCTTGCCAACATATCGAGTTTAAGGTAGGCGTATTTGCAAAATTTGAACGTTTTAATTCCCCAGAAGTAGAATTATTAGATAAATGGTGTTATTTACGCTCACAAGCTTCATCTCGTTAGATACATCTGGCCACTTCTGAGAATATTAAGACGATCAAGATGGATGATGTTAATAGTGAAGTTATAGTTACATGCAAGCAAGACGGCAAGACCCAAAAGATGAGCCACTCTTACAGCTCAGATTTGCTTTTTTAATAAAAGCAAATCTGAGCTGTTTCAACCGACTTCATCTTTGTTACTCCATTTTGCTCAATTTTTAATTTATAGGCGATTTGTTTGGAGTTGAATTCTTATGAACCGTATCCAGTGCCTTCTGTTAGTAACACAGCTGTAGATCATGAAATTAAGAAATTTTACGTCGTAGTCGTTCAGTGATGGGAAAGAAATGCACAAAACAGTGTGATGCATGTGCAAAGTTTTGCCGATGCTCTCAAAGTTTCGTCTTTTTAGTAATAAGAAAACCTCTACATGAAGAATTTTGAGGACCAGCTTTGTCAGCTGAATGTATGTAACCTAAGACCCGGGAACGCTATGTAGATAAATAAATGCCTTTCTAGTTGTCAACCGGCTTAGTAAACCAATGTCTGAGACAACGCAATATTAAATAACTGACTATTGTTTGAGCAATGAAAACTAACAAAGGGACGAGAATTTGATGCCTTTCTGAATGCATTTGTCAGGAGAAATTCAAATGGTTGCCTTACTACCAGTGCGGTATCCAATGCAAATAACTTAAACGCGCATTGTAACCCTACTTAATACACTATTCATAGCGCCGTCAACCCATCGCTTGGAATTGACAGAGAAAAAATTTCTAAGGATAAAAGAAAACGTCCAAATAGGAATTCACCCTAAAAATATCAGTAGGTATAATGGCAAGAATTGTATGGAAGGAAAAAGCTAAATATGAGAATTTTTATGCCAGTGATTTAAAGCTTAATTGATTTGCTCAGAATGGGTTAAAACTGTTGAAATTCTTACGGGATCTTTCCATGTGTTTCACCGCATTACCTCTTTCTCTTTTCTTACAGACAGCCATGATTTTGTTTTTTCTTCATGCTTTGTTGATATTAACTCGTGGTAGGCAAGTGCGTGGAGGTAAGTTGTAACTGCTAACTAGATGTATATAGGTGAGAATTGCTCTTCATTTTTTGCTAATAACGTACAGCAGTAAATTTAACATTTAATAACGTTTTTAGTCTTTCTAAATTGTTGTAAATTGTTTCGCTTTTAAGCTTGTCGTAGTGTATTTCCTTTTCCATCACTTGTTGTTATACGAAAGGTCCCTGGACAACACGACAAAGACGTCCGTTCAATATCCTAGGTGATAGGAAGTACTGGTCAGTAGTTTCTAAACTAACATAGTTAAACTTGTAAAATCCGGGGAGAATCTGAGATTTTCAGCTGCTTTTTGTGTGCTACATTAGTGACTTTTCAGAAAGCAAGTTCAACAAAAGAAAATCGATTGGCAAAACAAGTTCCGTTTGATATTCAAGTAGTATTAACCCTTTAAGTCCTAAGAGTGATCAGCGTCAAATTTCTCCGTGCGATATCACTGCTTTATAAAACACGGTGATCATGAGAATCGAGGACATGATCACACAAGATGAATCGAATTGATGCTTCAACAAATTCTCCCCACTACTTCTATAACAAATGAGAATTTGAATTTTGATATTAAGGTTTAAAGGGTTAATCGTTCGTTACACCGCTCTTTTAAATTGTAGTTGACCCTTGCAGCTCTTATACTGAACTACATCAACCGGACAGGAACATCGGTCATGTAAATCCTGATGGGAGTGGAATTTGCGACAATGCAATCACTATTCAGTGGTACCGGTTCGTACGCGCAGCGGGAAACTCCCTCCCGGAAACCTGTCCTCCTACTAACCGCTGCAAAGCGCATGCGCCTGGGTGGTTAGAAGTAGGCCATCCAACGGTCGCAGATGGAGAAGTGACAAGGAAAGTATGCTACACGTGGAATGGAAACTGCTGCAATTGGAGTAATAACATTCAAGTAGTAAACTGCGGAGACTTCTATGTTTACAAGCTGGTGCCCCCAAGTGCATGTCACTTGAGGTACTGTGGCGATGGTAAGTACGTGGATTGGTAACACACCGATTAGTATAGCAAGTAAAATTGGAATAAATGCAAACCCAGAGTAGTATTTTGATCAAATGGTGTAGTACAACTGCTGGTAAGCCCTTGCATAATATCAAATGATAGTTATCAAGATAATCCATTATTTTAAATTTTATCATCTATTATGTTTTTTGTAGGCCGATAAAACTTTAGTGTACATTATATTTGGCTATGATAGTAAATTCGATAAACAATAGCTCCTGACCTTAACGTCAGTTAGAGAAATTGGTGCTAAAATATTACTCAACCTACTCCGCTGAAATGTTCAAATTTTTGTGTTCCATTAATGGTCACATTAAATCAGCATCTAGTTCCAATTTCTTATTTTCTTCATTACCTTTTCAAAATTGTTATGATTCTTTACGTTCTTGTTGCCGAAAACCACTGTGAATATTTTTTACATTTTATGTGTAATATGGTTAAAATACGTGTATAAACATTTAAATTCAAAACTATTTAAAACAGAAATTTAGCAGTACTGTTTCAAAAGGCAATGTAAATCTATCTGATGGCAAAAATTTCTGAAAAACAAGACCTCTTTCTTATATATCAATATTTCCAAATTGTTCATTAATGCGTTTATGTGCTAATTTTAGAGTTTTAAAATTTAAAAATTGTAGAGGTTGATGAATGCGCAGACGATGCCCACAATTGCCACTCTGAAGCGACCTGCACCAACACAGTGGGTTCATTTACATGTAGCTGTAACCAGGGATACACAGGAGACGGGATACTTTGTGAGGGTAATGAAATATCAAAATACCTTAGCACTATATGCAAGTAAGCGTTAATCTCACAGAATGTCATCCTAATCTTAACTATTATTTGTTTGATAATAAATGAGGGCAAGATTGACCTTCACTTTGGTGAAAAAAAGTCGATCGCATATGTTTGGAATATGTAGTTTACAATAAGAACGTTGATTTTGTTAATTACGACGTGCAACCAAACGTTGTGGTCACTCCCATTCAGGCCCTGGTTGCTCGAAAGATAGGTAGCGCTCTTCACTGGATACTGATCACTGTCTGTGACTAGGTGTTCCGAAAAACCAATATTGTGTTATCCCTTTGACCGGGATTTATCTTCAGAATACCACTATCAACCGTTTGAACAACCAGGGCTAGGAACATGAACCCACGAAAAACTATTTGCGCATAATAATGTAAACAACTTAATCTTTACGGGCAAGGCTGCTTTAACATATAACATGGCCCTGCTGTACTTTTTTGATGAAAATGTGAATGCTATGTCTGCTTTTAGCAAAATTTCCATTGTTCCATAGATGAGAATGAATGTGAGGCTGGGACGCACAGCTGTGATGCAAACGCTCAGTGTAGCAACACGATTGGTTCATTTACTTGTGCGTGTCTTCAGGGATATACAGGAAATGGTCTGTCTTGTTCTGGTGAGTTAACATGCTAATTCAATTGAATGTCAGTGGAAATTTTAAGAGTACGCAACAGATACAAACATAAAAAATCCAAAACAAATAATAATAATAATAAAAATAAACAACAATAACAAAGAGAAGCAACAAGTCCTGCACACTGTGTTGTAAATCATCCCTGAAAAGCCGCCATCTTGAGGAGTGGATAACCACAGGTGGCCCAAGATCGAAATATCACCATCGGCATCGTTCGTAATCTTCAAAATATAAGGAATTTTAGGGGGAAAAATACGATTCTTAAAGGAATCTAGAAATGAAAAAGGATTTAAAAATCACCTAACCACATTTCAGTTGCAGGTTTCTTTCTTTCCTTTGTGATACTCGACTCGAACTAGGGCTATTTTATAGGCTTTTTTAGAACCGGTGTGGTAAATTAATGCAAAGAAAAGAATGAAAGTATATATTTGTTCGCAATTGAGGTTTTCAGAAAGGCAAATGAAACTATTATGTTGTGACATAGACGGTACGATGTTTGTGTTTTTATGGTAAACGACAGTGGATTTTTACAGATATCAATGAATGCACAACCAGTGCTCATGACTGTCACGCAGAAGCAGTCTGTAGCAATACAGATGGTTCATTCACTTGCAATTGTAACCAAGGATACACAGGGGATGGAGAAGATTGCGCCGGTAGGTTCTCAATTTATGTATAAAGTTTATACTTTCAGTTTTAAATCTCTCCACCCCACAACACACCATGTTTTCCTTTTTGCAATGAGATGTCTAAACAGTCGTGTAAAACTGCCCCAACAAACAATCCGCTTGAGTACTTGCATAATTTTTGAATGCATTTCATGTTGTGCTCATATAACTTCCCTCAATAAATCATGGTATATTCTCAGACGTTGACGAATGTCAGGATGGGACTCACAACTGCGACTCAAATGCTCTGTGTAGCAACAGCGTTGGTTCATTCACATGTGCCTGTTTTCAGGGATACTCAGGAAATGGGATAGTCTGTTCTGGTAAGTAAAAGGGTTAACAATGCCCTTGTGATCATGTGATCATATTGGTCTTATGGAGGTTGTACGTGCGACGGAGTCGGTGACGTATCGAATTGCATTATGGTACTGTTTTGGGAACAGAATTCCCACATTACAACAATCTGATTGGTTGGCAAGAAGCGGTGGTGCCCCCAAACAATCCCGAGATGCAATTCGACATAAGGCCGACCCAGTTTCTCGCACAACCTCAACAAAAACTAAAAAAGCACTGAATTTGAGTGTTAATCTAATTGGCACTAAAGTATTAATTGAGAAACTATTATTTTACGTCTCCTACTGGCGACGGGACGTCATCCGAGCCAGGAGGAGGTTTAGCTGTTTTCAGGGCTAAGGCAATACCTTCATTTTTCAGTTATTTTAATACTATGGGTATTGTACCCGCTCTCAGAATCGATCCTACCACCTCCTGGTCTGCAGCCAATTGTTCTACCAACTGAGCTAATACAGCGTCGGTTCAAAAATATCAATTGAATGTTCACCAAAGATTACAGAGGAAAAGAAGCCACCCTTTCAAAAGTGTTCAGTTAAGACGCCACCTAAGATGTAGCTAAAAGTTTATAGTAACTGCCCTGTTTTATCTTGGTATTTCGAATCTGAACTGAGATTAGCTAAATTAGTTACAACGCCACGTAAAAAAAAAAAAACGATGTTTCATCGAGCTGTTAATCTGTGTTTCACTATAATGTGAAGATATGCTTAGTTGGTATTGATTATTAATTTATCATGATTAATAACCTTAAGGGCTTCTTAAAAACCGTTTCATATGTTTCTGTAGCTAAAATAACACGAAATACGATTAGATATTTCTGTTCATGGTATTTTCAAAACAGCATTTCATATCAATAACCATCAACCATCAAAAACCCACGATGCAATTTCCATCAACTGACATGATGCAACTCACTTTGACTCTGAAGACGGCTACCTTACAGAAACGTTAGTCACTGTCAAAAATAGTTCTTTCCAGGACTATGCTCACCCGGACCATCACGCGCCAAACCTTTCACAGTTTTACCATTTTTTGTGTTGTAACAGATATTGATGAATGCACAGCAAATGCGCATGACTGTCACTTAGATGCGACGTGCAGCAATACAGATGGTTCATTCACTTGTAGCTGTAATCAAGGTTACTCCGGGGATGGAAAACAATGCGATGGTATGTTTGGGGTGTCGGGGGAAGGGGGAGGTGGTCGCGGGGTGGTGGCTGCCAAGCGAATAAGGGTGTTTCTTCGATTTTCACAAAATAACTTTCTGCAATTGTATCTGTTTTACTCATCGGGAACGCTTATTGCACATTATCACAGAGGCCAGTAAATTAAATATAAATATTGAAAACTAATCGTTACAGACGTAAATTACATCATTATATCTCAATTAGAAATCACATTTAGAGCCTGCAAATGACACTTATGAAATGACATCTATAAAATGAAATGTTTGATGCTAGAGTTAACTGAATTTAGTCCAAGGCAATTTGTTGCCAAACGATTTGACCATAGCACTAAAGGCTGCTGCCTGGATTTGTAGTGTGGACTCCCCCCTGAAGAAGGCTGTTATATACAGAAATAGCAGATGGAAAAAAGGAAATTTGCATTCATCCGTTTGCGCAGGGAAGTGATTAAGTTTCATGACCTGAAAGCGTTTTGTTTAATAGACTTCGAGATGTCTACACCGTTAAGAATCTTGAAGGTCTTAAACTAAATTAAGTCGTTTACAGTTGCCACGCTTAGAAAAAAAATGGCCAATCTCGGCCACCTAGCATAAAAGACGGCGCTGAGGTCGCAGTGATAATCGCGGAAGACGAAGAGGATAGCTCTCCTTATAATCAGTTGTTTTTTCAGACCTTTTCTATTCGTGTGTTCCTCAGTAATATTTTAGCAACATTAGTTGGTTTCTATAGTAACGACACATGACGTCATAAATGCTATGATTCTTTGGCATTTTTTAAGCAAAAAGGAATATGTGAATCAGGAGCAAAGCTGCAAAATGTTTGATTAATACATATTCTATAACTAAACTGAATTCTCAACAAAACGGCAACCAGGAAGACGATACTGTACTACAACATATAGAACAATACAGTAGAACATAACACAACTCAATTTACTTATGAAAAAGGCTGCTCTTACACATCCAAGCTAGAGGTCCAAGGATGGAGATATGGAGAACTACCCAGAAAAGGAAACATCATTGAAAAAGGAATCTTCTTGTTTTACCACGCAGCGGGAATGTATTAGATATCATTTTGTAATATGGAGAGTCACAAACATTCCAGCTTTAAATCCAAGTCTTTTGACGCGGCTGTCTTTGAAGAGTGTTAAAGGCAATTGGTATTTTGTTAGTTATTAATACATGATTTCCCACACAGATATAGACGAATGCGCATCTGGGACACATAACTGTGACGCAAACGCTCAGTGCAGTAACACAATTGGCTCTTTTACATGCAACTGTGTCCAAGGATATTCAGGAAACGGTGTGGAATGTTCTGGTACGTTTGTTGGCGTATGAGCACTTTATATACTTATTCGAGGTGACAGGAGCTTCCTTCATTTGATAGTAATATCTTGTTCCAATCACATATACTATTATTCTATATCAAGAAATTATTGTACAAGCTCTGTGAACTGAACACTGCTGGACGTTAAACCGCAGATATGAACGACCGATGGATCTGCCTTTGCCTCTGGCTCATCAGGCTACGTCGTGACGAGTACAGAAGGCATAAAACCCCTATATTGACCCATAACTTTGATTATCAGTAACGCGCGGGCAGATCATGACAATACAATCTGACCATAAGAAGTTGTTTCAAATGTTTGATACGTCTGAATGTGTAAAGTTAAATCAAATGCAACCACATTCGGCATTATTGAAAACATTTCACAACAGTAGATAGTGGCTTTAAAAATCAAGTTTCTTAAGCCGACTTTCTGCTGTTTGGATATCTGATGTTTTTTTCACAAAAAGGTATGTAAAGTATGTAATTCATAGGAAATTTCGACAAAATGTTAGAGTCACTTGTCCAAATGTTGGTAACGAAAGCAACCGTTCTCACTTCATGAACTACAAATAGGGTGCAGTCCTTCTTTTTTTAATTTTAGATATCGATGAATGCTCAGCGTTAAGTCACAACTGTCATGGAGTGGCAAACTGTCGCAACACAATCGGCTCATTCACTTGCAGTTGTCGCAGTGAGTACACTGGGGATGGTCTTGTCTGCGAACCTATAGGTGGGGAGTAGTAGCGTATAGTGGTATTTTGTTATTTATGTAGAATGAATCATAACTGTCAGATTCCTCATATATTCAGTTTTGTCATGAGAATCTATAGTCAGAGATCATAGGTAACGTGAAAATGTGGTAGGAGAAAAAGGGGGCAAACAAGCCAAAAGACTGTGGGTCAGTGATTTTCTTACTACATTTTGTCTTTTTATGTGATCGGTCACGGCACAGCCACATGGACTAAATTTTGTTTTCTGTTAATAACAGGGAAAATTAATAGCTCCTCATTACTGGATTGCGACCACAGGATTTGATCTTGAACGTCAACAATTTAACAAATTGCCTTGGTTATTTAACCACCCTATAGCAAGTATATTCCAGTTTTTGTTTCCATTTTTTAATTAACAGGGGATTTCACCGTGGTCATCGTGGATATGTCTAAGGACAAATATAACGCTACTGTTGTCCAGCGATCTGTTCAAAGTGTCCAACAAGCGCTAATTGAAGGTTTGCCAGAAAATGCGCCCGTGTTGCAAAGTGTGTTGCAATGGCGTCTGGTGAGTGAAGCTGAATTATCAGCTTCAGAGTCAGCAGAAGGAACCTTAGAAAGAGAAGGAAGCAGTGAATGGATTATAAATAGAAGATCCCTACCTGTGGGAATCTACCAAGTAAAGTTTACTGCTTCTTTTCAAATTGGAGACTCAGGTGCTCCACAGACTATTCAGGCGTTCAACTTCGGTTTTATTGAGGTTATTGCTGCACCTCTACGAGCCATCATTGACGGTGGCAGTAGTGCTCGATGGGGATCAGTAGAAACTGTTACAGTGGATGGTTCACTAAGCTATGACGGAGACATTGGCCTTGGTAATCATGATGGAGTCGAATTTACTTGGTACTGCCGTGAGGCAATTGAAAATGGTCCAGTGAGCAATGATTGTTTCGGTGCCTTTGTTGATGGAGCAAATGCCCTTGCAGTTATTATTGACACCAGTGTACTTGATGTAGGAAAGACATATTTCTTATGTTTAAATGTGTCCAAAGATGTGAGGAGTGCCTTTGCTGAGATGACATTTGAGATAGTAGCAGGGCAGATACCTCAAGTAAAACTGAGGTAAATGTGATAATGTAATTGATCAGGACGCTATAAACGCCTCAAATACAACAGTAAGTTATGCAACCGAAATATTATCTAAAGAAAGTCTTTGACACTACATTTTTCGTTTAATGGTATATGGCCCACTCAATTAATCGACTTAGCTTGTCTGAAAAAAAAAAAAA